ATCATATGTGGTACATCCAATAGCAACGATACACTTGATCTTAAAAGACTGAACAATCAATTGATGACCATCACACAATAACAATAATTCCAATATTTGGAACTGATAGAGATCTCTGTAACAATAGCGATATCAATAACAATACGCTATGGATGCCACGAATACAATTCAAAAGAAGATTATCATTCAATTGATAAAAGTAACCATTTATAAACAATGTAATTTATCATTCAGAAAATAAATACAATTTGAACATATCTTTACAACTTTGTTACTCACAGTGGGCTCCTTGATACACAGACTATGGCGTCCGATCTAACAAACAAATTCAAGCACAAGAACTCAATTATATCCATGCTAGATTCAATCAATTCTATTTTTACTCGCTTCGTTGTTATTCCATCAATTTCTATTCATTGCTCACTTATTCGGTTCTAACTTCATTCATGCACTCTAATGCACTCATGAGATGCAAATCATTATGAAAACATTTTAAAAACTATGAAAACGGAGGCCCAGAAAGGGAAAAAGTGAAGCAAAAACAAAACTGGGACTGCCCTATTGGCCGCACCTGCGGTTTCCTTGGCCACTCATGCAGTGGCTTGGCCGTACGTGCGGTGGATTTGGCCGCATGAGCAGCGATCAAGCAGTGTGCACCCTTGGGCTAATGAAGGTGGGCCGCTCGTGCGATAGCCTAATCCGCTCGAGCAATCTGGGCTGAAATGGTGTTCGAAAATCTACAAAGTCTTGGGGTTTACATTTTTCAAACCACTTTCATTTCCATACAAGCCAAGGCCAAATATTCATCAAACATACTTTGAATTCATGATTTCTTACTCCAACCAAAAACTCATCAAATCAAAAGGAGGTTCAATTGTCATGCAAAAAGTCAATCTTTGAATTTAAATACAAAGTATCATAATGTAAACAAATTGAGTTCCAAAACTGAAAATTCACATGGAGGTTTCCTCTTAACTTTGAAATCTCAAATAAGAAGTAAAGACAAGTAAAAAATCATGAATTCCATGGAAATTATGTCAAACATGTTGAATTTAGGGCCAAACTCTTACAATTCTTTTCTACCTTAGCTTGCATGTTTTAATTTGTCAATTCTAACATTAAAGCTCCCAATTAACCAAGAATTCATTCTAATTAACCCTTTGTCTTAGAGGAAGATGAGTGTAGGAAGTTCAATTTCAAAAAATTTTAATAAAAATTGTACCTTAAATTGATGAATTGTGAAGAGCTAACAAATTTCTTCTTCAATCTTCTTCTTCTTTCTTTTCTTTCTTATTTCTTTGTTGAACTCTCTCGCCTTCAAAATCCTTCCCTCTCTCTAAGTGTGGTATTCCTAGGTGAACACCAAGTACTCACTCTCTTTCTTTAATCAATAGATGAGTAGGATTTCTTTTCTATCTTTATTTGTTCTAAAAAGTTAATAATAAATCACTTAATTAATGTGAATCAATCTCACTCAATTAAATTAATCTTCATCACAATATAATCTTAATTATGCTAAATTAAATTATATTAAAGTGAATTAGGCTCTAATTTCCTATCTTATTATTTAATTCTACCTCGTTAAATTTAACGAATCAGACAGGTTTAATTCATTCCTTTACGTATCTGTTCCCAATAACACTATAATATCAATCAATACAAGCATGTATCATATGGCACATAATTTGCATAACACATAATCACATGATTAACGATAAGCACACTACAACAAAAAGCACAAATGACGACTAAAAAAAAAATTCGTCGCTGAAAGTAGCACTTTCGGCGACTAAAATGGAATTAGTAGCCAAAAGTCTTACTTTTGGCGACTAAAACAATTTAGTAGCCAAATGTATAGTTATTGGCGACTAAAAATCAATTTAGTCGCCGATTATATGGGTTTTAGCGACTAAAGGTTTTTTAGTAACCAAAAGTGACGGTTTTGGCGACTAAAAAACAGTTTGGTCGCCGATTATACGTGTTTTGGCGACTAAAAACAGTTTGGTTGCTGAAAGTGAAGTTTTTTGGCTACTAAAAAAAATTTAGTAGCTAAAAACAGGCAACTGGCGACTAAAATTCAGTTTAGTAGCCAAAAGGGGATGTTTTTGGCAACTAAAAACAGGTTTAGTCGCCAAAACTGGTTATTTTTAGGCAGAACTTATTTTTTTAGCGACTAAAAAATAATTAGTAGCCCAAAATTATAGAATTGGCGACTAAATAATGGATTTAGTCGCCAAAAGTGGCCTCAATTTTTTTTTAGTAAATAATTTATTTTTTACATAAATTATATTAAATAAAAATAATTATTTTTACATATATAGTTTTGTATTAATACCGATCAATATACTATATAAATAATATATGTTGCATTTATATTTATGTGATGTTGTACTGGCATAATGGGGAGAGTGTGTTGCTAAAAGTTTAGAATGTGGGAGGTTGGTGGTTCGAAACTTGGCAACAGTAGAGGGTAATTTTTTTTTTTCTGAAATATGTTTTTGGCAACTAAAATGTGTTGTCGCCAAAAGATTGACTATTGGCGACGAAAAGCTTAGTCGGCAAATATATAAATAAAAAAAAATAAATAATTCACTATTGGCGACTAAAAGATTAGTCGCTAAATGTATAATTTTCAAAAATGCAATTGACTATTGGCGACAAAAGCTTTGGTCGCTGAAGACCTATTTTTTGCCAACTAAAACATTTTTAGTCGCCAATACCACCGGCGACCATGTATTTGCGACAAAACAGGCGACTAAAATATTTAGTCAGGGAAAGTGAAAAGTCGACTTTTGGCGACTAAAAAAGGACTTTTGGCGACTAAAAATTTGGTCTCCGAAGATGTTTTTTCTTGTAGTGGCATATAATTAAATTAATTAATTTGCTTAATTGAGAAGGTGGTTATCACAAAATTCCTTTCAGATTGTTTCAGAAATTTATATAAATTCATGAGAATTTGGTTGATTGATCATTCTGATGAAATTTATGAAATTTGTGATTTGTTCTTCATTGAAATTTATGAATTTGTGAAAGGGTCTTCCAGAAATTTCTGAATTTGTGAAATCAAATGAAGAACGATTTTTTTTTTAATTTTTTTTAAAACGGTGAACTTTATAGGAAAAAAGACACTTCAGGGTTGGTTTGAGAAGTGAGTTGGCTTTTTGACTATTTTAGTCTAAGCTAAAAAGTTTGGTTTGAGAAGGACTTTTTGGCTTTTTGACTTTTTGGACCTTTTTTGTGAGAGAAGAGTATAATGATTATGGATTTGATGTGATTTTTTGTTTGTTGTGGCTAAAATAGCCTATTTTATTTTTTATGGCTATTTTATCCAAAAAAGTCCAAAAAATCTCTTCCCGAACAGAGGCTCAAAGATTTTGGGAGGTTTTCCATGAGAGGATCAATTGATTTGGAGACAAAATTCTATTAATATTTGATGATGTGGCATATTTGGTAAATGCTAAACTTTCTGTCAAATTTAACAACAGAAATAACATCTGTTATATTTGACAAGAGGATAACATGTCATTGGAGACTGATTTTTCTTCACTTAGCTCATTTAGTAGCTTCATTAGAAATGCTTTAAGACTTGTTTTGTGTTTTTTGACCATTTTTTTTTTTTTTGAAAAATATATAAAAAATAGAAAGGTAATATGATCTAAAAAAAATTTAAAAAATCAAAAAAACTAGGGCTCTGTTTGGTTGTGCTCTATAATCAATTTTCTACCCGTGTGTTGGAGCATGATGTTTGGTTTCGTTTTCAAATCAATTTTCTACACTCTGCAGAGAGAACTCTGATGCACAGGCGCCTTTTTTGTCCACCCGGTAGACCACCCGGATGTCCACCCGGATGTCCGGCTGATTTCCAGATTTTTTTTTTTTTCAATTGATTTACATAATCGGGACAAATATTTTCTGAAAATTTTTAAATTTTTTATGTGCTTTAAAATAATTTTGAGTTGTATGTTTAGTTATGAGTTGTAAATTTTTGTATCACATATCAAATGTCACATCAATAATTCCCCACTCAAATCAAACCTCTTTTCCAAAACTATTTTCAAAACTCTTTACCAATTAAATTTTCTACACTCAAATCATAATTCCACAACACACAAACTCAAAATACAACTCATATTCTCAAATCACATTTACAAAACACAACCAAACGCTACCTAGCTTTTAGCAAAGTTTCCAAAACGGATCTAAGTTTATAATTTTTTTTTATTTGTCATTTGGCTATTTTATGAAGAATTGATGACCAAAAATTGTACCTGGGCCCACACCCTTGTCACTAACATGTGATTTTTCTGTGGACGTTTTTTTTATATTTATTTTAACTTTGCTATTTAAACTTAAAAATTATATTTATTTTTTAAATTAAATGGTGTAACAAGTAATTAAAATATAAGTAATTATCTTCTTTTTTATTTTTTAATTATTAATTAATCATCACACTTATATATAAATGTAAAAAATAAATTTAAAAATGTGAATTTATATATTATTTATTTATTTATTTGTTATTATTATTATTTGCAATTCAAGTGGGATGTATGTCTACAATCTACGATATGAAAAAATTTAGGGATTATAAAAAAGATTTTATGAAAATGATTATAAAATATTTATGATATTTAGATTATCTTAATTAGTGTGTGATATTTTATTATAAGTATAATTTAAAAATTACAAAACTTTCATAGTTATTTTTATGAAATTTTTTTCATAATATCTATCATTACTGCTACTACCAAGGATCCTTTAGAGTATTTTTTTCCTAAAATTTCTTAAAGTGGTGTATTGTGCGGTTGAGATTTAATGTTGAAAAATTGATGTGACTTGTCATTAAATCTCAACCACACAATGCACCACTTTAAAAAATTTTAGAAAAAAAAAACTCTAGAGAACCCTTGCTCCACTACTACGATATTATGGTCGACCGACCCACTTTACGTCAGCCACTTGATCAGCTTTTGTCTCTCTCTGTCTATAAATAAGTGAAGCAAGACACATACCATGAGCCCAAGATAAGGAAAAATGGAGGTACAGAGTGAGAAGAAGCAAGAAAGCTGTACTTGGTTAGCTTGCTGCACCAAATCATTTCCCATCTCTTCACCGCCTCGATCACCGTCCCGTGAAAATGAATTGCCGGACAAACAAGGCCTTGTTTTGCCAACCTCAAAGACCCAAACAGCAAGAAGACAGCCCGGTGGCTGGAAGTCCATGCCTTTCGTCTTAGGTCTCTCTCTCTCTCTCTCTCTCTCTCTCTCTCTCTATATATATATATATATGTACACATATGTATAGTTATATCATTATATAAAACATATACATAAGTTGGTATGAATATTATCACTCTTTTTAATTTTTTTCAAAATATGTTCATTCAAGTACACGTAATTTATTAGAATAATTTTATTTACATCATGATTTATTTATTTTTTTACGAAAGTTGTTTATTTATAGAAAAAATATTAAGGCCTATTTGGGTGTTAGCTTTTTCGTTAAAATAGCTAAAATCAAAACACTCAATCACACTAATTTCTCCACTTTTTCATATGTTTTTTATAAAAATTAATTAAAATAATCACTTCATGCATATCATCTTCCGTATCGTCAATCAATTGATATATTAATAAATATTGATATTAAAATTTTAAAATCTCAATATAAATCATTTTCTAATCAAATGAGTTTTAAAATGAATTCAAAAAGTAGACTACTACATGTATCATTAATATATATATATATATATATTGATATTTAAAACCTTCCCACCAAATAATCTCCACCGTCATAATGGAGGTGTTGGACAATAGGCTTTTTTTGGGGATTAAAATAGCATTAAAAGACAAAATAAATTATCACATTAAAATCAAAATTATTTCATTTTTCTCTGATAAATATCACATCTAATTATAAAAAAAAATGAATTATCTTTTTAAACACATTTATTTTAACATAATAAAATAACTAAGACCTAAAATAGTCGTAATTTCCACCATCAATTAGATAATCTCTCATTATTGTTATTTTGGAGATTGTTATGTATAACTTATTTTTTTTACTGTTTTATATCACTCAATTACTTGCCAAGGAACCAACGGTGTATTAAAATATAAGACATATAGCATTTTATATTTTTTATCATCTTACCATGACGTGTTTAGTTTAATTGTCTGCACAATATTAAAAATATACATAAATAATGAGATTCATTAAATTATTATTAAATTAAAAAATAAAATAATAAATATAATATAATATAAAATTTTAATTTTACTGTTGTGGAATAGGCAAGTACATAATAATAAAGGTAAAAAAAAGTGGAAAAGCACATGGAGCTATTAGTTTTAAAAAAATAAATAAAAAAAAAGTTGACAATTGAGAGGTGGATGTTTGCAGGAAACGAAACGTTCGAGAGGTTGGGGTCGATTGGTTTGCTGGCGAACTTTATGATTTACTTGCTCAATCAGTTCCACTTGGAGCAGGCATCTGCTGCGAACATCCTCAGCATATGGATGGGTATTACCAACTTTGCACCCTTGATCGGTGCTTTCGTTTCTGATGCCTACATTGGCCGCTTCTGGACCATTGGTTTTTCCTCCTTTGCTTCTCTTCTGGTACGCCATAGATCAATCCAGTAATATTTATTCTTGTTCCTTTTAGAAAAAATAAATTTTAAATAAAAAATTTAGGCGGGCTTAGAAATTTAGAGAAAATATAATAAATTTTATAATTTTAATATAATTAAATTAAAATATCATTTTATATGTAATTTGTTAGTTATATCAATAAAAAAATAATAATATTTTTATACTTTTTATTAAAATATATATTTTATTTTATTTATTTTTATATTTTCATAGCATCCGCATTAATTTTTATCCATTTAACTTTACTAACAAGAAAATTAATATGATCATATTATAATCATGTTAAAACGGTGGTGTTACATACACTAATTAATGTACTCATTAGTATACCAATTAGTACTATGTCATTATTATCGATCTCACTTATTATACAAATTATAAATACTTATAATTCTTAAAATTATGTTACATTATCTATTAATACACTAATTAATATATTAATTAATGCATATAATAATATTCATGTTAAAATTATAAAAAAATTTACATTTTCCTCAAACCGTGAAGGGAAGTCAGTGAAATAACCCTTTATGAAATTATGACGGTGAGTATTTTTACAACTACGCCTTCGTTTGGGAAGTAGGTTGGTTTTTTGATTTTTTGGTTTTTTTAGTTATTTTAGCCTGGGTTAAAAAGCTTGGTTTGAGAAGAGTTTTTTGGCTTTTTGGTTTTTTTGATTTTTTTTGTGAGAAAAGAGTGTAATGATTATAGGTTGGATGTGATATTTTATTTTTTGTGGCTAAAATAATCTATTTTGTATTTTGTAGCTAAAATAGCCAAAAAAGTCCGAAAATCCCTTCCCAAACGGACCCTAATAATGTTTGATAGTTTAAATTTTTATGGTTCGAATAATTTAAATGTCTCAAAACGATATCGTTTTAATATATTCGAGTCATTCGTATCATATAAATTCAAACTATCAATTATTTTTCTTTTACAACAATGCTATAATTTTCTTTAAAAAACACAATCTCCACAATACCTACTCACTTGTAATTAGTCAAGGAAAAAAAAAATCATTTTGGAGGTCATGGGAATCTCTAACTTTGGGGGTTCCAAGCATTTTTGGTATTTTTATTAGAAGTGAAGGGATCACAATTTTTTTCTTCTTGTTTTATAATTTTGTATAAAGTTGTGACAAATTATGTTTATATATTATTATTTTTGGTTTTCATAAATTTTGACAAAAATTTTTTATTTTAAAAAATATAATAAAATTTTCCATACATATCAACTCATACCTATTGATTCCTATCTAAAAAAATCACACATAGTGGTCTTTTGGGAAGCTAAAAAAAAGTCAATTTTTAATTTTTTATCAATTTTAAATCACATCACTTCTCACATTTTTTACTCATAAAAAGATAAAAATAAATTAAAAAATTAATTTTTTACCAACTTTTCAAAACACCACATATTGATATTTAAACTTTAAAGGTTGAGACTGGAGGCAAACAACCACGGCATTTTGGGATAGTGGATTTACCCTTATTAATGATGATCATGAAAATGACTATTTACAAATTATGTTGATAAACCACCATTTATAATTAGTCAAATAAGATATAATTGATTTTCATTTTTTATTTTGTGAAAAGTTTTATTTTAGTAATTTTTTGAATTTTTTTTGTTAAAATATGAGATAAAAAAAATTAATATGTTTAGAATGATTTTAATTTTTTATGAAAATATATGCAAAAAGTACAGTTTTTTTTTTAATTTTTGGTTTAAATTATTGACTTTTTTATTTTTTAATAATTTTTTAACTTTTAAACTAAAAAAATGAGTCATCACATCTCTCTTACTCTTTTTTTTTTATTACTTTTATTTTATCACGTCATATATCATATCTTTTTTTTTTTTTTGGGTGGATATAATTATCATATCTTATCCAAATGGTTATCACCTTCTTTTAAATCACAAAACATAATTGCTTAAGCACATAATCAGATAATAATATGGATGTATGTGTCAATTTCTCCTCATATAGAGGGTAAATTTGGAACGTTACAATAGTAGTTCAAAAGTTAAAAAATGGCTAAAAAGTCAAAAAATTAGAAATTCTGATAAATTACAAACACATTCTCTAAGATTTACTTAAATTATAAATTACTTCTGTAGTTCTAGAAATTACATTATGTCTTCTAAGATTTTTAATTTTATAACAAATAGGTCTTTTTATTAATAAATCATCAAGTTAATTAACAGTTTTCAATAATGTTAAAAAAATTTCAATTACTAATTAAGATAATTTTATTATTGTATAGGTAAACAGTTAGAAATTTCACTTTTTTGATTAATTTTGTTAAATAAAAAATTTCTGACAGGGAGGTAATTGTAATTTTTTAAACCACAAAGGGTAATTCGTATTTTAAACAAATTTCAAGGAGTGTATTTGTAATTTTTCCTAAAAATTATATAACAAAGCCAAAGATTTCCTTTATTTTATACTTTTTATACATTTTTTTATGAAATATTAAAAAATTATCCCAAACATATTACTAATTTTTTTATCTCATGTTTTAATTAAAAAATCATTTTTTAAGAAAAAATTAATCCAGAGAGTGTGAAAAAGCAAAAAAGTGAATTGTGGATATTATTATTCTAATTAATTGGATTAAAATATGAAAAATATTTAAGACCTACAAAAAAAAAAAAAAAAACTTTTACAATTTGACCAACACTAAAGTAATATAAAATGTGTCATAATATAATAGGTGTCAATTCTTCCTTAATTTTACAATCAATAATATAAGGTATATCTTCTTTATTATATTATTATAAATGAATTTAAAATGTAAGTTCCTAATGTTACTTTTAAAATATTATTCGATTTTTCTATCAAAATTGTACACTACCAATGAGAAAATTCGTTGACATCGTTACTTATTATAATATTTTCCTCAAATGATTGAATGATTTAAACCCCCCAAAAAAATAAAAAAACAAAGAGTAAAAAATAGAAAGTTCGGGGAGATATGATTACTTTTATTTATGTGTTTGTTTGGTTGTTAAGGGACTCCCATCCAACTCCCAACTAAAAGAAATAAAGGAACCAAATTCGGGTTTGGAATTCCCAAGGGATTCAACAACTGAAAATTTATATTCTGTATTCAATGCGCTCTCAAATAATTTATCATATTATATGGTTAAAAATGTATAAAATGTAAGAAAATAATAATTTGGGGTACAAAAGATCTTTTAAAGAGTGTTGAGGGTATCCAAAAAAAAGCTAATTTTTAGTTAAGATATTTAAAAAGTCAAAAAGTAAATAAACAATTAGTCATTTGTCAAAAAAATCTAATGTCATATTAACTTTTCGTTCATAAAAAATAATTTGTTTTGTAACTTTTCAAATGCTCTAGTTCTTTTAGTTTTTAAAGTGGTAAAAAAAAAACTAAAAAATCACAACAACAAAAAAGACAAACACCAAACGGCCCCTTAGTTCTAGGAGAAGCTTAAAGTAATAATTTCTTTGAAAACATCTACTATTTTCATATTGTTTTTATTTTTTGTAAAAAATAACCTATTGGTGTTAAAAAAAAATTAAAAAAATCAGAAAAGAAACTTTTTTATGTTTTATTGAAACTAAAAATAAAAAAATGAAAACACAACCAAATAAGTTTTAGGTTGTATTTGGATAATAGATTTAGGTAGAAATTCAAAAAATAAAAAAAGAAAAGGATAAATTACAAACACCCCCTAAGATTTGCTTAAAATATGAATTGTCCCATGTGATTCTGAAAATTACATATCATCTCTTAAAATTTCTAATTTTATAACATATGACCTCTTTTATTAATAAATCATCAAGTTAATTAACAGTCTTTAATGATGTCAGAGATTTATTTCAATTAATAATTCAAGTAATTTTATAATTGTAAATGATAGCAGTTAGAAATTTTCTTTTTTTAGTTAATTTTGTTAAATAAAAAATTTTGACAAGGGGTATTTGTAATTTTTCAAATTACATGGGGCAATTTGCATTTTAAGAAAATCTAAGGTGGTCTATTTATAATTTATCCAAAAGAAAAAAAAATACGTGAAATGTAACTATATTTTATTCACATTTCACTCATATTTTTCTTTTCAAATTTCTATTTAAATTTATAATTTAAACATAGTCTTAATTAATCATATTTAGGAGAGAAAAATGATAACAAAGCTTCAATTTACTACGGGTTTTGTTAAGGATGTATTTAATACACTTTAACTAACACCACTATCATGGAAAATAGTAAAGGCCATAAATGTAGTTTGCAAGAGATAAACTACCCCCCCCCCCCCCCCCGAAAGCCCCCCCTTTTTTTTCCTCCAAGGATTCCTTCTATTTTAACCTTTTTTTTTTAAACTTTGTTTTTTATCATAAAAGTAAATGCCTTTATTTTTTTTAAAAAAAATAATATGGTATAAGAAAAATAAAAACATAATTTTCGAGCTTTTTAAAAATTTTTGTATGTTCTTTATTTTTAAAACAAATATAAAAAATATATGCCTTTTATTTTTTTAATTTTATATTTATTTTTCTCAAACTATATAATTTAATTATGATTGAAAATAGAGGGCATTTAAATTTTTAAAAAAATCCATGAAATATTATTTAAAAATAAAGACATTTACCTTTATGAAATAAAAAAAATAAAATAAAAACAAACTCCATTATAAAAAGTATATAAGGTTAAAATAGAAAGAATTAGAAAAAAAAGGGTAGTTTTGTCTTTTAAAAAATATATTTATGGCCTTTTTTATTTTTTTGTTAACAAAATATATGCCTTCTAATTTTAGTTTTCACATACCCACTTGGGCTTTATCTTGTTACGCTTTATCTTTTGTTGGATTCACTTGTTTTTAAATTAGTTTTTGATGGGTAATTATCCAGTAATTTTGCAGTACAAATATGTGATATTTTAATAATTGGGCAAATTACATATACACCCCTCGAGGTTTGGCTAAATTACAGATACCCCTGAGGTTTCGGAAATTACATCCCGCCCCCTGAGGTTTGTATTTTCATAACAATTTGCCCCCTGAGGTTTATATTTCATAACAAATTACCTCCTAATTTCTTATGCAAATATAGCATTCAGGGGGGAATTCGTAATTTCTCAAACCTCAGGGGCATCTGTAATTTAGCCAAACCTCGAGGGGTGTATATGTAATTTGCCCTTTATAATATTATAATGAGTGAAAAAAATGAATAAATGAAATAATATATTAAATGATTGTAAAATTTAAAAAAATATATTAAATAATGATTGATTGAGTAATATCCAAAAACATTCTATAATCTCTCGTTTTTGACAACCGCATCAAAAGGTTTATTAAATCATTAAATGTCATTGTCAATCTAAAAAAAAAATCATTGAATGTCATTTTTCCCATTTTATTCAGTCAACCGAAAATCTGGACGTTACTTTTCTTGCTTTCTAATGAACAAAGCCAAAATTACAACACAAATCGTATGATCTATCTTGATTGCTGTTGATTTGCAAGAAAAATTATTAGGTTCTTTTAATACAATGTTTCATATAGCAATATATAAACAAAATATTTATATAAAATGATGTGATATCTTATAATTTCTTAATTAAAACACCAATCAAATGATTATGAATCTTTAATCAACTAGGCCTAGTTTAATTGGCCACCATGCCTTCTTTAGGACTTAATTCTAAAGAGATCATGGGTTCAATTTCTCTTTGGGAGGGTTGAATTAAGGGAATACAAATACTTTGATACTTTGTTAAGGGTGGAAAGATCTTCTCCTACAGGTGTTAATCTAATAACTAATATTTGTCAATCAAAAAAAAAATATGTGCATGAATCTTTGATGAGTTTAAAAGTATAAAAAAATGAAATGCATTAAGAAAGATTTAGAAAGTACAAGCTCTCATATTATTGTTACTCGCATCTACATAATCTATCCTTTGCTCTTTTGTTCGCACATCACATATTTTTTCAAAACTATAATGTCTAGACTAAAAACTATGAGCAAGGATCCTCTAGAGTGATTTTTCCCTAAAGTTTTCTAGAGTGCAACATTGTGTGATTGAGATTTACTGGCAAGTCACATCAATTTTTCTGATGTGACTTGCCAGTAAATCTCAACCACACAATGTAGTACTCTAGGAAACTTTAGAAAAATTTCACTCTAGAGAATCCTTGGTGAAAAACTATATAATTTATTCTAAAAATGCTGAATACTTTCTGAATTGACAGGGAATGGTAACCCTAACCCTAATTGCATGGATGCCTAAACTCCACCCTGCTCCTTGCACCCCACACCAACTGCAACTCCACCAATGTAGCCCTCCCTCTTTTGTTCGCACATCACATATTTTTTCAAAACCATAATGTCTAGACTAAAAACTATATAATTTATTCTAAAAATGCTGAATACTTTCTGAATTGACAGGGAATGGTAACCCTAACCCTAATTGCATGGATGCCTAAACTCCACCCTGCTCCTTGCACCCCACACCAACTGCAACTCCACCAATGTAGCCCTCCCTCCACCTCCCAGCTCTGTATCCTCTTCACCGCTCTGGGCTTCCTCTCCGTCGGCTCCGGTGGAATCAGACCCTGCAGCCTCCCCTTCGGCGCTGACCAGTTCGATCCGACCACCGAAGAAGGAAGGAAAGGAATCAACAGCTTCTTCAACTGGTACTACACCACATTCACACTTGTCTTGATTGTGGCTCTCACTGTGGTGGTTTACATACAAAACAATGTTAGCTGGGTACTAGGATTTGGAATACCAACTTTGTGTATGGTGGGTTCGATTGTGTTGTTCTTTGTTGGGACGAGGTTTTACGTGTACGTGAAACCGGAGGGAAGCGTGTTCTCTGGCATCGCTCAGGGGCTCATGGCGGCGTATAAGAAGCGGAAGCTTAAACTTCCGGCAGAGGACGGGGAGGGGGAGGGGGAGGTTGATGGTGGTGGTGGTGGTGGTAATTAATTAAAATTAATAATATGAGCATTAAATTAATCTAATTTAATCGTTCTGAATCGAATTTCAATTAAACCTACCACAAAATTCTAAAAATTCTAATTAATTCTCTATGACCCACCATTGAAAGGCACCATAGTGAGGAAGCTTCCACTCACCAATCAGTTCAGGTAATATTTATCACTCGTGCAATACTGAGTCTCGTCTTGTGTATGTTTTTTAAGGGTGATTATTCAGTACTCTCGGAGTATGGACACGTGGTGCTCCATAATGTTTTGATTGGTGGAGAGACACAAGGGCCCACGATTTATGTTGGAGATGGGGGACAACATGGGACTAACTGATTGATGATTAGTTTGGAGTATGGACACGTGGTGCTCCGGGAGTATTGAATAATTTGCCCTTGTAAACTGTGTTACTTAAATTCAGATATTAGTTAAATTCAGAAGACACGAGCGAGAGTTAAACTTAAAACTGCTCAATTGTTGGGCTCCTCGTGTGTGAGTTTGAATTTGTGTACCTCAGCAAGTATTTTTTTGGTCCCCAATCTTTTGAAAGGGGTTGTAGGCTTGTAGCTCGTGTTGTGTAAATTAAGGGTGATTATTCAGTACTCTCGGAGTATGGACACGTGGTGCTCCATAATGTTTTGATTGGTGGAGAGACACAAGGGCCCACGATTTATGTTGGAGATGGGGGACAACATGGGTCTAACTGATTGATGATTAGTTTGGAGTATGGACACGTGGTGCTCCGGGAGTATTGAATAATTTTCCGTTTTTCAAACCTTTTCGTACCAGTAAAATCTAATTCGACATATCTTATGATTATGTTTCCTCAAAAAAAAAATGAAATAATAATAATAATAATAATAATAATAATAATATCCTATGATTATGAGTCTCAGTTTTATTAAGAAAATATAAATACCAATATAAAATACAAATAACACTAGTCAGTTTGTGTAACTTGTCGCTGGTATTAAATTTCTCTTTTAGTTTTAGTTGAATTAATTTTATCTTTCAATTTTTTACATTGTGTTAATTTAATTCAATTAATAATACCTCTTTAAAAAATTGGCCCGTGAAATTGTTGTCTTCAAAATAATTGGAGGGTTGACTTCCAATTGAAATCATCTTGAATTGACCTTTCATTGTTGATTTGTTTTGAATTTTTAATAGATTTTATCAATTCGAATAAATTGACACAATTTAAGAAATAAAAATATAAAATTGATACAATATGAATTGACACTAAATACAAATTATAGGACAAGTATAATTTGCACAATACAAATACATCATATAGTAAGACAAAATAGCTTTAAAAAAATTTAAATTTTAAATTTATGAAAATTTAAATTTCATTCACGCATTTTAAATTTCAAATACATAACATTATTGATACTATTATAAGGGCCTGTTTGTTTTGGGTTATGTAGATGGAAGGGGATTAGGATGGTGGAAGTGTTATTTAGTGTTGTGTTTATTTGTAGAGTTGGGGAGGGAATTAGGATGGTGGAGGTGACATAGATGGAGGTTGGGGAGATGGTATTAGAAAAATAGTGAGGGGATTAGAAATTTTTTTATTTTTTATATATTGGAAATTTTTTTATAAATATTAATGTTTAATTTTTTATATTTTTATATTTGTTTTATTATTTTATATAAAAATAATTTCACAATTCCTACACTAATAACTATCATCAAAACAATCACAATTTTATTTAATCCCCTCATTATCAATCCCCTCACTATCAACCCCCTCCATTCTACCTCTTAAAACAAACGGGGCCTAAGACCCACTACAAGAAAATGTAGAAATGGCGACTAAAAATATTATTTTCGTCGCTGAAAGTGTCATTTTCGGCAACTAAAATGGAATTAGTAGCCAAAAGTGAAGACTTTTAGCGACTAAAATAATTTAGTAGCCAAATGTATAGTTATTGGTGACTAAAAATCAATTTAGTCGCTGATTATATGGGTTTTACCGACTAAAGGTTTTTTAGTAGCCAAAAGTGACGATTTTTGGCGACTAAAATAATTTAGTAGCCAAAAGTATAGGTTTTGGCGACTAAAAAACAGTTTGGTCACTGATTATACGTGTTTTGGCGACTAAAAATAGTTTAGTCGCTGAAAGTGAAGCGCTTTGGCTACTAAAAAGAATTTAGTAGCTAAAAACAGGCAATTGGCGACTGAAATTCAGTTTAGTAGCCAAAAGGGGACGTTTTTGGCAACTAAAAACAGGTTTAGTCGCCAAAATTGTTTATTTTTAGGCGGAACTTATTTTTTTAGCGACTAAAAAATAATTAGTAGCCCAAAATTACAGAATTGGCGACTAAATAATGGATTTAGTCGCCAAAAGTGGCCTCAATTTTTTTTAGTAAATAATTTATTTTTTACATAAATTATATTGAATAAAAATAATTATATTTATATATATAGTTTTATATTAATACGGGTCAATATACTATATAAATAATATATATTGCGTATATATTCATGTGGTGTTATAGTGGCATAGTGGAGGGAGTGTGTTGCTAAAGGTTTAGAATGTGGGACAGGTTGGTGGTTCAAGTCTTAGAAAAAGTAAAAAAGTTGGTTTTTTTTTTTTCACGGAAGCACCTTTGGCGACTAAAATTATTAGTCACCAAAAGTCTTTATTTTGGCAACTAAACGGTTTAGTCGGCGATTCAGTGAGTATTGGCAACTAAAGGATTAGTCGCTAAATGTATGATTTTTAAAAGTGTAAATCACTATTGGCGACTAAAACTTTGGTCGCTAAAGACCTATTTTTTGCCGACTAAAAAAGTTTTAGTCGCCAATACCTCTGGCGATCATGTATTCGTGACAAAAGCGGCGATTAAAAATTTTAGTTGGGGAAACTAAAAATTCAACTTTTAACGACTAAAAATAGACTTTTAATTTAGTTGCCAAAGGTGATTTTTCTTGTAGTGACCCTATATCAATTTTTTTTTTTTTTTTTGAATAATCGAGTATTCGAGTCAAATTGCATACAATTCAACTATTACTAACACTAATTTGTGTACATTTCAACTAATTACTAAATTTATGAAATTAATGACCAGTAATAACCTATTAAATAATTCAAATTCAAAATTTTAAATATTATTTTTAAATTTTTTCTCCTCGTCAAGCCTGAATGATTGATCTACCAGATTGCTTAGGTAGCGGTTCACTGTCCACACAGACTTAAGTTTTCCTGGCCACTCCTTATAGTTTCTTGGAAATGTCACCAAAAACATTGTAGCAAGTGGGTCATCAATACTTTATCGTTTAGCCAATTAGTGTATAACTTGGGAGGGGTTGGGGTGTTCAGGTTGTGGGGGGACTATCTTAAATGATTTTTTATTACACATATCCTCTTTGGCCCCACTGTTGAAATGGATGTATACTATTGTAGTACCATATGCTATTTAATGATCCAGCAATGATAGAGGGTCCGAATTTTTCAGGTTTGAATGGTTTGAATTGACCAAAACGACGTTGTTTTGGACAAAACAACGTCGTTTTGGTCAATTCGAGCCATTTAAGCCACGAATATTGTGGCCACCAAATATTTTTCTTAATGATCCTAACTAATGTCCAGAAGAAAAAAAAAAAACTCAAATAATTGAAAGACTAAGTGATAAGGTTCTATTTTTTAAAAATAATAGTATATGTTTCAATTTGTATATTAATAGATGATATAATTTTAAAAATTTTGAATATTTATAATTTGTATATTGAGTAGGATAATAATTTTAAAATAATAATATAATAACATATGTTGATATACTAATTGATACATGTAGTATCGCCGATTTTTTTATCACTATTGGCGTAAAGAGTAGTTCTATTTTGTGCAATTTGTAAGAATTGTTTATTGTCTTTTTCTTATTTATTTTGGTAGTCTCGGTTAGAGATGCAATTTTTATGTACAACTTATAATATAAAAATAATTTAAATAAATTAAAAGTATTTGATTATTAAGAAATCAATAGTTTCTTTTTTTTATTTTTTAATCTATTATTATCATTTTTCGAAGGGCCCACTATCTTAATCTTAACCTAATATTCAATATTAACCTGAAATTTGTACATTAATGTTGTTGTTACATTAATGTATTTTTTTTTTTTTTCTCGAAACATAGCATTGTTTTTATTACCTTGCCAATTTTTAATTTAATTTAATTTTTTTTTTCACGGGGTAGGAGAATTAATTATAAATATGAAAATAATTAATTCAAGCTTTGCTTTGTTTTGATGGACTCCAATTTCATCATTAATTGAATTATATGGCTCATTTACATGTGTTTTGCCTACTAATGTTCATGAATATTTTACTGGTTCATTCATACAGGTTTTTGAACAAAGCTGCCATAGAATTGGACGGTGAAGTAAACCCTGACGGTTCTCGTTCAAATCCATGGCGACTTTGTAGCATCCAACAGATCGAAGAAGTCAAATGCCTACTAAAAGTAATCCCAATATGGGCATCCGGTATCATTTGCTTTATCGCCATGGCACAACAAGGAACATTCACCATGTCCCAAGCCCTAAAAACAGATCGTCACCTAGGGCCCCACTTTCAAATCCCTCCGGGAACCCTCGGTGTCATTTCTATGATCACTATTGGACTCTGGGTCCCGTTCTATGATCGGATTCTCGTACCCGCCCTTCGAAAAATCACCCGTATCGAAAGCGGAATCACGCTCCTCCAAAGGATCGGAATTGGCATTGTATTCTCCATTTTGGCAATGGTTGTTGCCGGGTTGGTAGAGCGGGTAAGACGGGCCTCGGCCATCTCGCACGGGCGGGCCGACGGCATCGCTCCGATATCAGTCATGTGGCTGGCCCCACAATTGTGCTTGATGGGATTTGCTGAGGCATTTAACATTATAGGGCAAATTGAGTTTTACTACAAGGAATTTCCAGAGAACATGAGTAGTGTTGCCAATGCTCTCTTCTTCTGCACTGCCGCCGGGGCGAACTACTTTAGTAGCTTGTTGATCACCGTCGTGCACGGAACCACTGGAGGACATGGTCGGCCGGACTGGTTGGCCAACGATGTTAATGCTGGCAAGATTGATTATTTTTACTACCTAATAGCGATATTGGGGGTTTTGAACTTGGTTTACTTCTTGATCGTTGCTCGTCGGTACAATTACAAGAGAAGTGTTCCAAACATGGAGGAGAAAGGGAAACCCCACCATGATGTTGAGCTTGATGCCATTAAACAATGAAGTCACTTTGACAAATCTATGTATAATAAGAAGAGCAATGATGCTCTAGAGTTTTTTTTTCTTAAAATTTTTTGGAGTGGTGTATTGTGTGATTGAGATTTAATGATAAGTCACATTAATTTTTTAACATTAAATCTCAACCACACAATACACCACTTTAGAAAACTTTAAGAGAAAAACAGATCCCTGGTCTAATAAGAATTCAGCTACTCTCATATTTAGGTGTTTAAATTGAAGATTCCCGTTGGAATATTGGATAACGTCATGTCAATATTGTACGTAAATTAAATGTCTTGATTTAACATATAGACCCACTTGATATCGGCCAAAGATATGCTGTCCCCAAATGTTCTGTACCCCAATCTCATAATATCTACGACGACTACTGTATAATGTGAAAATTTTAAAACATAAAAATCTGAAGATATCTAACTATTATAAATGATTTGAGATAGGAGATGAGAATTTTTTTCAAGACAGGTTTGTTGGCAACTTGACATTCAATATTGAATCAGATTTTTGGGCAGATTTAATTTTGAATTTGCAAGTGGTGGACAAATGTGAGCCTTTGATTTGTAAAAACTATTAATGTGACACCATTTCGTCCACTGAATTCATATTTGAATGAGTAAGAAGTCATTCTCTTATGATAATCTTACATATTGTAGTTAACTAATTACGGAACTACTAAGGTCTCGTTTGGTAATATTATTTTTTAGTTTAAAAATTAAAAAGTTACTAAAAAAATCAAAAAGCTAACAACCTATATCAAAAAGTCAAAAATTCTTTTTTCTCTCTACTTTTTACACATCTTTTCGTAATGCAAGTGGTGGACAAATGTGAGCCTTTGATTTGTAAAAACTATTATGCTGTGTTTGGTTGGGGGATTTGGGGAGGGATTTGGAAAGGGAAAAGGAAAAGGTGTGTGAAACTAGGTGAAATGTAGGTATATTTTATTCACATTTCACCTAACTTTTCCCTTTCCCTTTCCAAATCCCTCCCTAAATCCTCTAACCAAACACAACGTTAATGTGACACCATTTCGTCCACTGAATTCATATTTGAATGAGTAAGAGCATCTCCAATGATATTAGGCATTTTACCTATCTAAATATTACTATAAAGTATACATTTTATTTTGCCTATCAACGATTTCATGTTTCTGCCCCAACCATGCTCTTTATTTTAGCTATTCATCCAAATACTATTAACTTTATAGAATGCCACGTCAGCAACAAAGATGGAGGGAAATAATCTTAATGATTAAATACATTTTGCCTAACCTTGAAGGCTAGCTACATGTAGCTAGTGAATGTGAGCTGAGCCAAAATGCCTAAGCATATGCCTAGTGCATTGGAGTTGAAAAAAGTGAGTCACATTAGGCATTTTGACTAACAAGCATCATATGCCTAGTGGGTTGGAGATGCTCTAAGAAGTCATTCTCTTATGATAATCTTACATATTGTAGTTAACTAATTACGGAACTACTAAGGTCTCGTTTGGTAATATTATTTTTTAGTTTAAAAATTAAAAAGTTACTAAAAAAATCAAAAAGCTAACAACCTATATCAAAAAGTCAAAAATTCTTTTTTCTCTCTACTTTTTACACATCTTTTCGTAAAAAACTAAAAAGTCATCCCAAACATACTAATTTTTTTTACCTCATATTTTAGTCAAAAAATAAAAAAATTGTTAAAATAGTTTGTTTCCAAACGAAACCTGAAAAAAATATAAATCGAACATCATGATCTAAGAAACAACAATTTTAATGATAAGTCTCACTATTTAATATGTATAATTATTATTTTTTTGTGATGACAATTGTTTTTGTTCATATTTCTTCTTGGGTGAAAGGGAGAGAGAGACATAGGCCCTGTTTGGCACAGCTTATAAGCAGCTTATTTGAGGCTTTAGCTTATATTAAGCTATTTTAGAGTGTTTGGCACAACTTATCAAAACAACTTATAGTTTAAGTTAAGCTATTTTCAGCTTATTTTTCAAAGCAGCTCTGGGGGTGTTTAACAAATTCGACTTATGAGGGCAGCTGGTAAGGGGGGACTAAAATGACTTAAATGCCCCTTATCAAATTCGATTATTACCAAATACGTTGTATATAAACCACACTCTCACACTGTTCACTCTGAGAGAGAGAGAGAGAGAGAGAGAGAGAGAGAGAGGCAATTTCCGATGAGGGTGGTGATTTCCAGCGAGGGTGGCGATTTCCGACGAAGGTCTTAAGTTTTTGGCAAACGTCTCTGTCTTTCGCTCTCTCTCTCTCTCGAGATCAACCTTCCGTTGTCGCGATACAATTGATAGGCAAAGCCCTAACCGTCGCGATCAATCTGAAACCCTAGAGCCGCCAGTGATGATCTAAACCAAAGCTCTCTCTCTCTCTCTCTCTCTCTCTCTCTCTCTCTTCGCGATCGTCCCCCATCCCCCATCGTGATCGATGCAGAAGTGATCTAGGTGAAGCTCCTTTTCCGGTGAATAGTGAACTAGAGCTCTCTCTCTCTCTCTTCGGCGATGGAGCTAGGTTTTCAATGTTTTTTTAATAATAATAATAATAAAACATTTTAATCTATTAATGAAATAAATTTTATATTAATTGATACTAATTAATAATTTTAATATTAATTGATACTAATTAAGCCATTAATTGATAATAAATTAAATTAAAAAAATATTAATAAATTGGTATATTTTGTAACAATTTTGTAATAATAAATTACAAAAATATTAATTGGCATTTGTAACAATTTTTAACAAAAAGAATTTTTAATAAATTAAAAAAATATCAATTAATATTCATGTATTTATAAACCAAAATGAATATAATTTGAAAATTTTAATTGGTATTTGAGCATTTGTCAAAATTCTCTCATGATCAATTTCACCATGCATGCACCACTTCTAATTTGAAAAAATAAACTATAAACTAAAGAAAATAAAATAAAATGAAGAAAAAGAAAAAAATTAAGAGAAAAAAAATGAAAAAAAGAAATAAGGAACAAAAAAAATACTTGTTAATATTAATTAATACTAATTAATAATTTTAGTATTAATTGTGACTAATTAAGTCATTAATTGATACTAATTAATAATTTTAGTATTAATTGATACTAATTAATTTATAATGGAAAAAAATTATTACAATAATACTTCCATTACATTTTTATTAAATGTATCAATTTTTATATTAATTGATATTAATTAATAGTAGTAATTATATTCACTTTTATTAAAGAAATAATTTTTTTAAATTAAAACTAAAAAAAATTGACAAAATTATTATTTTTATATCATATAAGGTCAAAAAGGACAATTATACAGTAATAAGCTATTTTACAGCTTATCAATCAAATATTACTTTGCTGCTTGAATTCATAATTTTATAATTGTACCAAACAAATTAACAACTTATGTTCACAATTATAAATTATAATCTATTAAGATATAATTTATAATCACTTTCTCATAAATTTACAGAACGGCCCCAGTACCGTTACAGCTCTCTGTAATGGAGTACACACGTGTTCGATTTGTATTGTAATTTCCATGCCCCTTTTTCGGGCTTGGCTTGTTTCGTCCTACTTTCATTATTATTATTATTAATTACAGAAAACTAAAAAGCTCCAATAATGTTGACTATGGTTCAGGATTAATACTGGCACACCAGCAATGGGTTGGCATACCAACCCTTTTGAGTCGAACCTTCTCAATCTACTGGTACGGGTACGAAATATTCTTTTCGTATAATTTTGTTGATTAAATCTGCGCTCCTTCGTACGTTATCGCTTTACTCCCTGAAAACACAAACGTGAGCTAGCCGGCGGGTGTGTGCCGGATACCTCTCCGATGCCTAAGTCAGCAAAATAGACAAAGACAAAAAGATCTGTGTATTCAAGAATCAAAGTTGTGTGTTACCTTTCCATAGGTGATATTTGTGAGCTTTTGTAGGTTCCGTGTGGCATAATCCTACTAGGACTTTTACTCTTCCATGTACAGTCCTCTTAGGATTCATACTCTTGAAAAATAATGTTTATCCTTCAACACCCCCTCACTGCTTAAATCAAATGAGATGGTTTCAAACCGGTAGTATGGCAAAACGACCGAGATAACAAAGCCATGCTAAACGGGCCAAAACGACCGAACTCTAATTAGCTAGGCTCTCTCTTCACAGCTTGTACCTCGGTTTTACCTATTGAGACCGAGCTAACCGTAGCAAGCTTGGACCGGGCTGACCAAAGCTAGGCTTACCGTGCGAAGTCACTGTATCTCAGCTCCGAATGGCGTGACCAAACTAACTTCTTCTAATCGTGGTGACCGAACTAACCGTTGCTCTTTTAGGACCAGACTAATTACCAAGCCTTTTTACTTAGTCTGGTGGCCAGAGCCTTACTTTGGACCGAGCTAACACTTGACCGTGGCCCATCTCCCTAGCCTTTTCATTACGGTCCAAAGAACAGCCCATTGCCCAACTCGGCCTAATTTACATATAAATTACCCTCTCAGTTGCCCCTTAATTCCATCTGCGCTGCATGATAGGGATTACCTGTCACCAGCCAAGCTAAAAAGTTTCAGCTTTCCAACCGAGCTAAAACCATTTAGCCTTTCCAACCGGGTTAAAAAAACCCTTTTAGCCTTTCCAGCCGGGCTAAAAAACCCTTTTAGCCTTTCCAGCCGAGCTAAATTCACACTGGGTTGTACCTGTCCAGTCAAAACGTCTCTTCAATCACAGCAACTGAAACGCTTCTCATTTCATGGACACGTGGCAAGCTCTTATTGGCTGAAGGCAGCTGTCACGCCGTTCTCGTACCTCGCGTTTTTTGAACAGTTCCCGCCTTTTCGACCTTCATTCTCTTTTCACAAAACCATCCTCAAGGTTTAGAATCATTTACTTTACTATTCAATTCCTCTTCTCTCTTTCTGTGTCTCCATACCTTCAACCCCTGAGTTTGCTAAGTTCGTGTTCTTCACTGTCGTTGCTTCTATCTTCGATTTTCTGCTGTAATCTGGTAAGTAACTCATCATTCTAACTCCTTTTAGTTGATGTTGCACCTTTTTTGTAATACATTACATGTTTTTCAAAGCACACCATGCCTGCTTCCATTTTCTGCTTAGCTTTGTGTTTTCTGCAAAAACTTAGTAATAGAACCACTTGGATTCAAGAAATAACATGAAAAACACTAGTTTTGATCCAGAATCATGATGCAACCGAACTAGAAAGTTGTTTGCAGTTGCTGTGAATCTTAGTCAGACTTATCCAACCGAACTAATACTTCGTGTTATACCAGTAATTTCAAGAAATAAAACCTCCTTGTGATTCGACT